CGGGGGCCTTTGGCCACTCGGAAGCACTTTGCCGAACTTCGCTTAATCAATAAACCGCAGCCCCAGTCTCCCAGGCTCTCGCGCCGCCCCGCCCCGCCCCGCGCGCCAGACCCTCTTGTCCCCTCTTGGCTCATCCTGCCTAGATGAGTCCTCTCCGGTGTAGACCAGTGCGACCTAGGCGTCTCCGGGGTGTTCGGTCCAGCGCGGGACTCGAGCTCGTTTCTCTGCTGACCTGGCGTCCAGGGGCCAGAGCTCGCCTCTGTTGGATGGTGCCTGGGTCTCCTCTTCCTTTGAGAATGTGTTCAGGGGCTTGCTTGCCGCGGAGGCTGAGGCTGAAGTTGGAGAGTGCCCCCTTCTTACGCCCCGGAGTAGGGATCGAACCTCCCTGGCTGTGATTGCTAGGCGTCCCCACTGCTCCCAGTAGCCGTAGCCTCGGGGCTGGAGAGGGGAAACCCAGCCGCACAGAGCTGGTAGAAGGGCTGGGGGCTGTGGGAACCGCTGACTCGGCTGATTGCCAACTCCTGCCTACTGCTCTCTTCACCCAGAGGCCCCTGAGCGCCAGGCCAGCCGGGTGCCGACTTGTAAGGGCGCGTGCCTCCGTCTGCCTGTCTGGCTCGGAGGACGTTATGCCTGTTTCCCAGAGGAGAAAATAGGACTGCCTAAAAGTCCCCGAGCCGGACTGAACACTGCAGTGCTTCATCCGCGCAGCCACCTCTCCTCCAACGACTCTGAGCGCAATTCTCCAGCTCCCAAAGCTCTGGGAGTACAGAACTCGCCTTGAGCGGGCCAGGAGAGGAGGGAGGCAGTGGCTGCACAAGCAGCAGAGCAGATGCTGCGAGGGCCTGGGCACCCCCACGCAGTGACAGGGAGCCCACCTTGGCAGCACCATCCCGAGTTGGGAAGGGCTCTGAGCCCCTTAGGAGCAGGAAGGGGTCGCTGGTCAGTGGCCCAAACCTGTGTCTACAGAGGGAGCCTGGCTGGGCACCAGCACTGGCAGCGGCTAGTGGGTCAGCGACTTCTCCAGGTGACCCCCTCCATTTGCAGAGCAATTGAGCTCTCAAAGGGGTCTAATCTCTGAGCTAGTCAGCCTGCAGGGACAAGGCTGGGGCTGGGAAGCAAGAGGACCCTAGGCAGTGCCACAGCTGAGAGTGGAAGAGAGGGCTCTCCGGGCATCCCCATCTCCAGAGGACAAAGGGCCTGCAAAAAAGGGTGCGGCAGGCTGGAGGGGCACAGGCAGAGGGACCCTCTTAGGGATCATGCCCACGTGCTGCAGTCTCCAACACTGAAGCCGCTGGCCTGGAGGGCCTGCCCGTCCCCAACCTAGAAGACCTCTGGGCCCCAAGCCGTTCCCCCGCTCTGCATGGCTGCTTGCTCTGCACAGCGCTGGTCCTGCCTGGAATGATCCCGGGAGCCATCCTGACACCGGCTAGTTTCCCAAGGGCTACACAGGCCCTTGCCCTCCTCCTGTGCTTGGTTCTCGCTGATTTCTCAGAGCTCAGCCAGCCACATATGCCTGGGCCTGTGGTGACTGGTGAGTGGAGATCCCAGCCTGTGGGTGACTTGAATGTGACAGGAGCAGCAAGTGATGGGGACACTCCTCATCTCATAGCTGAAGTCTGGGCCTCCAGGGTGGGAGCAGCTGACTGGGGAACCCCAGAATGTTCCAGAAGACTTGTGGTCTCAAATCAAATTTTTCCTACTACCATGAGCTGCTGACCAGGAAAGTCATGGCCTTTATTTCTGGGATGCCAGGGAAGGTCCCATCCATGGGTCCTGGAAAGAGCCGGGGTTTGTCTCCTAAGGGTGCCCTGCTCTCCCCGTGCCAACCTTGCTGGGACATTCCAAGATTTCACAGCCCTCAGAGGGAGATGACAAAAGGTGGCGAGCACTGGGCAGAACTGGTACAGAAACAGAAGGAGTCTGGCCACGCAGCCCGCAGCTGAATCCACACGCACCCTGCCTGCCTTCATCTGTGCCTCCCTCCAGCTGGACTGAGTGCTTCCACAGGTACCACGGGGGAGGGAGGGAATGCCAGAGACAAAGCACTCTGGCCTCTCTCCCCCTTCTCCTGCATCCTGCCCTCACTGAGGCTGATCTTCAAGGGCTCGGCCAGAAACACAGTGGCCACACTTATGGTCTCCAGCATCAACCCTGGGTTGTAAGATGGGGTGGAGCTTAGGAGGCAATGTTTCCAAGGTGCATGGAGACCATGCACCAGCGGCTCCAGCCTTCTCTTTCAGCTGGTGCCATAGCCACGCGTCAGGTTGCACGCCATGTCACATGCCTTGAGAGTAGAGGCTGTTTCCTGACACTTCTGTGGGTTCCTCTAGTCCCTCTTTGGTACCTACACAGCTCTTGTCCTGCAGGCCCAGCCTGAGGTCGCTTGTGCCTTTCATCCTGAGCTCTTAGCAGCCCTAGTATCTGCATTGTGGTTGCCTGCACATTACAAACGAAGACACCGAGGCTCTGCTGGTCATGGGGCTTGCTGGGGCAGCCACCCCCTTAGCCCCTGCTTCATCCTGGAGGAGCCTAGGTCAGGCTCAGATCCAACCCCAATGTTTCACCTTATTCTCCCACCAGGCCCCAGACCCCTCACCTCTACCTCTATGCACCTGGGAAGTTCTGGGGTGCAGGTTTCTCTGGCTGCTTTGCAGGAAGCCCTCAGACTGGCCCTACCGTCACTACTCCCATCAAGTTTGCCGTCACCCCCACCCCCGCCCTCCTATGCTGATTTGGTCTTCACTCTCTGGGGCCTTTGCTGAAGCACTCTCTGATGGCCCCTCCTAGACTCAGGACCAGTCTTACCCAACAATATCCACTCTCCCAAAATCATGCCCATGCACCTTCCACGAAGCTGGTCAAATAGGAAGAGCTTCCTGTAGGCACAGACCAGCAGGCATGAACCCAGGTACGTGGAGGCTCACCTGGGCCGGAGGTCTCCGTTCTCCTTCCAGACTCCCCTCTCCCACATTGCTCCTCCAAACTCCTGCCCAGGGACTAAGGGAGCTCTCAATCAGGCCACTTACCCACCACTGCCCACCTCCCTCTGTAACTCAAAGGCCAGGCTAGTGCTTGGTCCCTCACTATGTGGATTAAGATTGGGTCTGGCTGCATGTAAGAGAAAACTGAATGAACAACATTTGAAAGGAGACTGTTTACTTTCTCTTGTGTAAGGGAATTCTAGCCACTGGCAGCCCTGGGCGGTTATGACACCTTCACAAGAGTCCTAAGAGACTGAGCTCCATCCAGCTCTCCTCTGTGCCATCCCTGGGCTGGGCCCTTCATCCTCAGGGTCCCAGATGGAAGGTGAAGTTCTAGCCACCACATCCTCATTCTCTACAGCAAATGAGAAGGAAGGGAGCAGGATAAGCTCCCTCCTTGCAAAGGAGCTTTCCCAGAAGCCCATGCAACATGGACACTCCCATCTCATTGGCCAGAGCATAGTCATGTGACCATTCCTGCCCTGGAAAGAAGGGGAAATGTAGTCGCTTTTCTGGGTGGACTTGGTCCTGGTGATGGAGGAGAATGACTATGGGGACTCTGCCCGCTTGTGGAGATTTTAGATCTCGCCCCTTTCCCGGGCCTACCTGCCCAGCTCATCTGGGCCAGAGGCCTTCGTTCTCCTTCCAGACTCCCCTCTCTCACACTGCTCCTCCGAATTTGGGTGGACTGGGTGTAGACCCCCATCCCTGCCATCCTCAGCCTCCTCAACCTCTACATAGCTTCCAACTGTTACTGTCCTTCCCCCCTCAGAGCCAGAGATCAAAAGGGCTGTCTGCACCCACTGTCTGCTCTGGCTGCCCACACCAGCTGTCTACACTCACTGTCTATATTCTGTGTCTGTATCCACCATCTGCACTCCCTGGCCCACCGTCTGCACCTGCCATCCACTCTCTGCCCAGTGTTCACACTCCAGGGGGAGGGGTGTCCCAGGTTCAGGGGATCACTTATCCCCACCTCCCTAGCTCCCAGACACAGCCAGACCAAGGTCCCTGCTCATATCACCCTCGTCACTTCAGAGCAAACCTGGCTGTGTGGGAGGGTGTGCTCACCTACTGCACACCGCATCCAGATTCCAGAAGAGCCAGAACCCACTCCTCCCCCTACTTTGCTAGCCCTGTGTCTGGGCCTGTCCTTTCGCCTGGCTCATGGGAACCCAAACTACGAGGTCCACATGGGATAGGCACATCCAACAGCTCTCAGGGACTCAATCCTCCCCATATGTCCCGCATGTCCTGCCTAGAGACAGCCTGACCACCTGGGGGCGTCCTCTCCTGATGTCTCCCTGGCGACATTCTGGCTCTCACACCTGCTGGGTCCTTTCCATCTGGCTGTACCCAAGACCTGGATATCCCCAAGTCTCTATCTTTGGTCACCCCAAGGTCAGGGGCAGATGGGGAGCTCCATGCTGGAGCAATGCAGACTTCCTAAGGGGTGGGGCACAAGGCTGGACAAATAGCCTGGTGGGAGGCAGAGGGAGGTGACGACAGGAAGAAAGGGACAAGGGCTATTAAGCAGGTCATCCTCAGGAAGGCAGGGTCATGTGAGGAAAAGAGGCAGGGCTGTCCTGCCACGGGTGGCCTCTGGTACTACTGACCCACCGCCACCCCTAGGATAATCTCCTTGCCTCCCCTAGGACCACAGGGTTCTGGTCCACTGCAGGGGCCCCACTGCCTGTGGATGACAACACAGGGACAACTCCACCACGTTCCCTATGGTCTTGCAGATGGTCTTCGGAGGCAGCTTGCTGGGTACTGACTCATCCTCCCTCTTGCTGGGAAACACGGATACTCAGCTCCCAGGATAAAGGCTACGTT